TGGGGTCATGACACTTTTACTTCTGCTTCTGGGGAGAAATTACTTTTTTCTGCTTCTTCAAAATCGTTTCGGCTTCTAGCCAAAAACACTTTTTTTCAAAAAAAAAAAAAAAAAAAAAAAAAAAAAAAAAAGTTAGTCAAACACCTCAAATTAAGAAAAAATTACTTTCTAAAAAAAATATCACTTTTGTCATATTAAGAAACTTGACTAAACAGGCTATAAATGGAAATGGAATACAGCAATATATATTAAGAAGGGATGATTAATTGAACATGCACGCTGAGGGACATGAGGTCTGCCAAACTGTACTATTTAGCTATTAAACGTGGGGTAGACTTTTAAGGCCAAAAAGGACAGGCTACTATACGGAAATTGTGCTACGGAGATTTTTTCAAATCTACGACTTAACTGTCACCCATGGCCCCATTCACCATCTTTTTCCTATTGTACTTCAAATTAAAATTGTGTTTACTATTTTTTCCTTTTTCTGGAGCTCTGATATACAAAAAGCTTTTCCACTTTTCTTTTTAGGCTTGAGTTTTCTTTTTTTAAATACCAAATGACATAAGAAAGGAAAAGAAAGCGAAAAAGAGTTTAACGATTTTAGAACAAAGAGCATTACCCGAAAAATATTATGCTTTCCCTTTTGGGTTCAGAAAAACCAACCAAAAAAACTTGAATTAGACTCCAACAAATGTGCATGTACTTTTTAGAGTTCAAGTTATATATATTGATAATGTAAAAAAAAAAAATTACTACGTGCAATTTAGTTTATTATAACAAGTTATTGTTTTATATTTTCATATTATTATGTCAAGCTCAATAGTAAGAGTTTATATATTATCAATGTATAGAACATAAATTATACATGAAAAGCACTACTCCCCTACTACCATAATTGCATGGAAAAATCCTCTCCAACAAGTATGACTCATCATGCTTTGTGGAATCACAGCTATTTTAAACAAAGCAAAGATTAAAGCAAATCATGATATTATTAAATAAACCAGCCTGCAACCTGCTTTCAATCAAACTCAAAATAATATTATCAAAGCGAAATCAAACCCAAACGTATAATTGGTTTGAAATTCTTTTCACAAATGTTTTACGAACCAAAATGTTCTTCTAAAAACTAAACCATTAACGAAATCCTAATACCAAGAATTTGACTACAGATAACTTTATTTCTCTTTTTTTTAAAGAGGCTTACTATGATAAGTAATTTTCAAGAATGCCTAACTTTCTCTTGTCCCCTTTTCACAAATTTGGTTTGTACTCTTCTCACTAGTACCAGAAAGTTGTCTTTAACAAAGAACGCGAGAATTAGGTAATCAAGAATTAGCATCAAATGATAGGATTGTGGTTGGGGCACGATTAGGTTTTTGGTTCGAGTCCTCGGAATGAATTTTTTTTTAATATAGAATACTTTTTGTCTTTTAATAAGTTTTATGCGGTGAAAATATAAATTAATCAAGACCCAATGCAAGTAAGATTCATACCAAGAGAAAAATAAAAAATATGGATTAGGCATCAAATATTTCTACGAATTGGTACCTTTGTACATCCATGGCAGAAATAAAGCAAAGCTAAAGTTTTTTTTTGAATCTACAGTTGACAAAGCAAATAGATGATATGACCACACAAATCTTTTCGAATCCCATGAAACACTTGAGCTTATTGGGGAAATTTCAACTTAAAAAAGCAGCAAACATGTGGTAACTTTTTGGTACAAGTAAACATATTATACAAAAAAAATAAATCACTTTTCATTTACAAGTGCGGTTTGGCATCAGCTGTCAGTTTTGTCTATTTGTACTTTTACTCAATTTTCCTACTTGTATTTGGAAATAAGAAAGTACTCTTTAAAAGGATAGATAGTAATGTCGGCAAATTAATGTTAATTGTGCTATACTAATAATACAAATCTTCCTAATTTGCGAACGATTTAAAAAACTAAATAAAATTGTGCTATACTAATAATATAGGAGTAATATGTATTTTTCTTTTCCACATACATTAATGGAAAAGAGCCAAAAAAAAATTACTTTCCACCTATTCGATTTATTTTATAAATGTGCTCCATTAATCTATTGGAAGCCCTCAACGTTTTCTTTTGGCTTAAAAATGCCACAATTTTAAGACTTGTAGTTTTAAGCCAGAAGAAAATATTGAGGGCAATGCTAGACAATTGTTTAAGGAGGATATTTATAAACCAAATCGAATAGATTAGGGATATTTTTTATCCTTTTTTATATTATAGCTATCACAACATCTAGCCCTTCTAGAGAAACAAAATTCCATGCAGTTACAAACAAGAAAGATAATACAGCAAACATGAGTTTGCTATAGTGTTACATATTTGTACGTGCTTCAAAGTTCAATGGTAGTCAAGGGCGGATCCATTTTAGAATTTTTCTCAGTATCCCGTTAAGAAGGATCTTACGAAGAAAGGAATTGTATAATACGAAATTACTTAATTTTAAAAAAAAAAAATGATATGAATCATGGATTCCAATTTTTGGTAGTGTATTGGAAGCGGGTTTGGGCCAATAATATTTGCTTATACTTTTGTGTTTCTAAATATTTAATTGTGAATCACGGTAGTGCGACTTTGTACGTGTCCAAACAAATCCACATCACTTGCCATATTATTTTTTATCCGGTCCCTCTACTTTGTGAAATTTTATCTAATTATTTGTATGTGTCCAAACAAAGTATTTTAAACACCTCTTTGTAAGACTATGTTACGTGTTTCTCACTTGCTTGACGCGAATGACACATCAGATCCACATCACTTGCTATGTCATTTTTTATTTTTGTCAATTAAAATTTTCATTTGAATAACTAAAATTAAAACCCACCGTTTTCACGTTCTCTCCTCCATTTTTGGGTCCTTTAAACCATGCTTCAATCAACCCACCGGAAACAATGGCTCATCTGCACATTTTTTCCAAATTCAAACGGGCAGAATTTACAAGATTTTAATTGACACTCACACACAAATTCACAATCACTCCATCACTCACCATGAACTTTCACTAGTCTTACCCATTTTTAGACCCATTAATGACCATCGCGACACCGCTCCTTCCGCCAGCGACAAAAAAATAGTAGCCATAGAAGATAACCATCAAGCCCAAAATTTTGAAATGCTTCGATCGCCAGAAAAGATGCCCAACACACTTAGTATTTAAGAAGTATTGAAATCCAAATAAAATTTATTTATTTATTTTAATATATTTTTGTTTTTGGAAAATATCGGTGAAAGAAAGGTTTTGATTTAGAAACTTTAACCATCGGAAAAAATGGTGAAACCATAAAAAGGGAAAAGGGGAAGAAGATGGTTGGAGACGAATTTATGGAAGAAGGGATGCAAAAGGAGAAAATCTTACGAAAGAAAGGAATATAAATAGAAAGATGAAGAGAAACGGGAAAGGCAGGGATTGGTGAAGAAAAAAAAAAGGGAGGGGGAGAACCAGAGAATAAGGGAGGGGAGTTTAGTTATATTTTTCCTTTTTTCTTTTGTTTATTTTTTGGTTGTCTTTTTTCTTATTTCCATCGAAGTAAAATCACAAATTCAGTGAATTCACGTACTATAGGTGCATATAAATCACGCGTTTTATTCATTTCAATCATATAAATGCCACATAAGTTTAGTCAATGGTCAAAAGCGTTTAAAATACTATGTTTGAACACGTACAAGTATTTAGATGAAATTTCGCAAAATAGAGAAAGCGAAATATCAAAGCGGTATAAATACAAGTATCTACCATGTTATTCTGCCTCCTGATTTATTAGTGACTACTTATAGAATTGTCCATAACCAAAATTTAAGTCATACTCTAAATTTCTTTTTTCTCACATGAATGCTTCAATAAATTGCTCTGTAGGAAAGAAAATCAAAAATTGAAGGCTATTTAACTCGAATGAGGTAAGACAGAAGTTTTATTTTTTAAAATTTTAAAATTAATTACTGTTAGGAGAGTGGGAGGGGAATTATTGAAAATATAAGTTTTATGTTTGCACATTAATGATTTTCTTTTTGAGATAAAGTTGGAGATTTCGGCTAGTGCTGTAAACGTGAACGAGTCAGGATAAAATTTGATAAGAGTATGACACTTATTTTATCCAATTCATCTTTTATTCATTATCGGAACAAAAGATCTTTATTCATTATCAAACAAGATGTATGAAGTATGAAGTCCAGTAGAGATCAAATTCCTCCTTTATATTTTTTTTTATTTTTCTGTGAGGAGTTAAATTTCTTAAGCATTATGTAAAATCATAACGAAAGTGTGCTAAATGTCGTAATTATTTGATATCCTTTCCCTTTTTTTGGTTCTAAAATGCATAAATCAAGATAAAGACGGAGAGCAAATACTAGAATCCTGGAAAAACAACCCAGCATACCACCCAAAATATAATATTATTAAACAATGATTAGCTATTATTTAAAACATAAATAAGTGATTCTTTTGCAATAAGGAAATTCTATTTAACAATTAGGTGAAACGATATGATTATGGAACTGATTGAGCACCATTCGATTGAAACAGCTCAGCAATATTATTGATTCTCATAATCAACTAAAAATTTGATTGCAAACATGGAAAAACTATCAGAAAATCAGATCTAAAAACCACTAAAAAAAAGAGAGTACTAGCATTAAGATTCTATAAATTCAAAAGTCAATTAGTAGAAAATTTCATTACTTGTTGCTATTTTCATCATCATCACACCACCAGAACAATGTCATAATCTGGGGGTAAAAAAGCACTAGAACCTAAAAAAAAGATCACCCAAATCTCTTAAGAACCCAGTAAACATTCATAAAACCAAATTTCTGGGCTCATGGATGGTTGAAAATCAAGAAAAGATAAAAACTTCCTAGAAATATTCAAACAAGGTTAGTTAGGCAAAGGAAAAATAAAACCCCCTAAACCCAAATCTCCCTTCTCGAGAACCGAACCGGCTGCCACAATGATAGAAAAACCGGCCGGTCAAACCCTAGCATTCTGAAGCAGAGGAGCAAAACCATGAGAAGTCGCTTCTTTACAAGACTGATCTAAAGATTCAAAACCCACTTCAGAAATCACCATGACAATCTCATCCAACCCATAATGTCCGAATTTCTGCTCATCCATTTCAAGCAGCCTCAAGATTTCCGAAAAAAACTCAACTTCAAAGGGTAAAACCAACCCGCCACTGGGCTGGAACCCGAACTCCTCCTCCGCCTTGTCGAGGAGTGAGATAAAGACCGGGAGATTCAAGAACCGGGTCGGTATCACGAACCGTCGGCGCTCTGGGCCCACGTAGACTGCCAATGAACCGGAAGGTGTGCGGCGATTTAAACCGGGTTGAGCCGGTTCGTCTGAATCGGAGGAGGAATAAGAGAGGACTGAGGAGCGGGGGCGAAGGGAGTTGTTTTTCCAGCGTTTGACAACTTGTTTGAGCCTCACAATTTGGGTAATCATGTGAACTCTTTTGATGGTGGAAGCCATTGTTGTTTGTTTGATGAGCCGCTCGCTCTTTCTTTCTCCTTAAAGTTTTGTAGAGAGAGAGAGGGGGGGGGGGTGGTTATAGGCTAGGAGAGAGTAAAAGAGAGAGAGGAGGAGCGTTAGAGAGGGATGTGTGAAGAGACTTTATAGGAGAAGGCAGACAGAATGGCAGTTAAAGACTTTGGGGAACCTAGTCACCTAGAAGACCGGGCGTGGAGTGGTAGGGTATGTGGAACAGTGTACTTGATCTTATTTTTCCTTTGTTATACGGTAAAAAATAATGTGGATTTAAGTGTACTACTACATTTTATTTCCTTTTTGTGTTTTAGAATTAGTTTGCGCTAACCTTAGAATAATTTCGGCTGTATGGGAATTGAATAGCTCTGCCCACCGATGCTCTTTTATTATAAAATAAAATAAAATAAAATATGGAATAAAGTGTACTAACTCTTGTTTTTTTGATTATTGTTAGGTAAAAAGAAATGTGAAATAAAGTGTACTAAATTCTATTTTCTTTTATTATACGTTCTCTTTTTCAATTTAAATGATGTACTTTGACTTAATATAAAATTTAATGAGAAAAACAATTTTTTTAATTAAATATATCATAATATTTATGTGGTTATAAGATCTTTAAAACTTAAAGCCTTTAAAATATTATAATATTTGTATAGTTATAAAATATTCTCATTGATGTTATATATGAATTTTAAATTATATTATTTTCAAATATAAAATCTGTTATTTTTAACAAATTAATATAGAAAGTATATCACATAAAATAAATAGAAGAAGGGTGTAAAAAGAGATGTGGAATAAAGCGTACTAAATTTTGTTTCCCTTTATTTTCTTCAACAATTCTATTTTCCCTCGTTAGGTAAATGATATGTGGAAGAAAGTACACTAAATTCTATTACCCGGCCCTAGTAATACTTGATTAACCTGAATAGTCATTTATGAAAAAATATTTGTTGCAATCGGCGCATGCATATATTATTAGGGTAAATTTCACAGATGGTCATATAACTATATTTTTTTCACACAATAATCATAAAGCTTCTACTAACTCACACAAAAATTATAATGACTGAAAATATAATTTTTCAATAGTTTTTTCTTATCCCATATTTTTTCAGTCTAATAAATAATAATTCAATTAAAATAGGAATGACCCAACCCGATATAACCCACCCAGTGCAATATATATATATATATA